GTATCCCCATGGCACCGAATAACACCCATTTATCTGTAGGCCCTACTGGTGTTACAGAATCCAGAGGAGCCATATGAAGCCATACGAAGAGTAATATAACACAGTATAATGTACATATATATAATATAATATGTAAATACATAAATATATATATATATATGTATATAATATATAACGTGTATGATATATAATATATGTATAAACATATATATAATATATAATATAATATATAATGTAATAATGAAATTAAAAATCACTCAGCATCGTAAACCATCCGTCAAAGCTGGTATTCTTCATTAACTTTTCAAAGTCCCCTTTAGGTGCGAAATATTGTGGTCTTTGACTGGGCAAATTTCGCGACATATCGCTACCAGCAAAAAATACACATCAGACGACCCAGCCTGGGAGTTAAACTTCTACTCGCAACCTTAGCTGGCATAAAATGCACTCATATTTACCTCTTCTCTTCCCGTATTCTCGAAACCTAGTACAGTCCGCAGGGGTCGCTCAATTGTTTAAGTAGGTCATTATCGAAGCTACTGACGTGCCCTTTCTTGATATGAATACTGTCCTCATATCCACGAAAATGTTTCAGAGCTCATTGGGTCTTTTTTCTTTCGGCGTAGGTTCAAATTACACCAGTAGGATATCCTACTTAAAGGTTGAATTGGGCGCTTTTTTACACTGCAGCTGTGCAAACATCGTCCTCACATAAGTCCTCATATATTAGGCTCCGGCTCGCACGTGACACCCACAGACTGTTTTGTTTGGTCCATGCAATAAAATCATCTATTGTTTTTAGGGGCCTCAGCGTGAGACCGCTTGATAAATCTATGGTAAATCCCTGGCTTTGTATTGTTATGGGGTCACATTTCCTTCATCAGTGGCTAAAGAGTTGGGTCATTGAGAGTACCCTGGTATCCACTTCAGTCATACACAACTAGCTAGGATATTGAACAACAGAAACAGCTTTTGGAAGAGTACTCATCTCCATTCGTCCTGCGTTGTTCCATAAACGCTTTGGATTCAACGTCCTGAATCAACCAATAGGGCCGCATTTTTAAATTTCTTTGCATTTCACTCCTTGTGCAATTTCTGAAGTACCGTTTGGACAGTGTTAATAAGTTGTTATTTTTTGTCTGACTGAATTGGACAGGCGCACATCCAAATGCACGCATCATGTAATGAGAGATTTAATTTGACAGAGTTTACGTTGTTTTATATGATAGAATTGAAAGTGAGGGATCGAGGACCATCCGCATCGGAAATAATAAGTTGTTATTTTTTGTCTGACTGAATTGGACAGGCGCACATCCAAATGCACGCATCATGTAATGAGAGATTTAATTTGACAGAGTTTACGTTGTTTTATATGATAGAATTGAAAGTGAGGGATCGAGGACCATCCGCATCAGAAAACAAACAAAATATACGGTACGACCGGGGGATTCAAAGGTAGTTCTGGCGTTTGCCATGGAGAGTTGCCTCCTGTTCTCGGAAAGATGTATTTCGCAAAACCTCCATGAATCATTCCACAGACTGGGCATCCGAGAAGCGTTACCGCTCAAAGAGAAACTGAGCGCCATAGAATCCAGTCTTCGCCGACAGGGTTTTTAAGTGGTAGGCAGAAACTTGGCAGGTGGTTCACTCTGTTTGCACAAAAGGCTATCTGCCGTAAAGTTTGCACGTAAAAAATTAAGAATATCGCCAAACCAACTGAGTAATTGGTTGGATTGGTGTTATTCAGGCTGACAACACTAGACAAACTGAAGTATGGTTAGGGGAGAAATCGCTGATTGGATGAATTTATCAGTGCTATCCATGTGAGTCGTCATCCAAAAAAGTATGCCTATTAGTGGCCCTCATTTATGCTCAAACGGAAATGGTCTCTTGCTGGTGATACAGGTAACAGATTGCATTACCTCGATTACCAGGAACCGTTGGCATTCAGCATTCTCTTGAGGCTGGCTTTACATATTTGAATCGCTAGAGTAGGCACCATGACACACAATGTATGCAGAGTAGTATCAGACGTCTTGACACCTCCCAGGAAAAGTGGCTTCTTAAGGACAGTTTCCAATTTATCCATCAATGAATTGTCCTGGTTGCTACTAGATTAAAGCCTCTGATAAGCTGAGGATTAAGATATGGCTGCACAAACAGCTTGTGTCTCGCCCAACTAATAACGCCTCTAAGCAGAGCTGCCGAGCTTATATCTAGATTATTCCCCACCATGTTATGACCGTTTCTGGTTCAGTCCTCGTCTCAAACTTTGGTCCTTTAATGTGAACATCATCGAAAACCGTACCGACAGCAGAAGACTTCCACTAGTTAGCTTGATCTTGATCATCGAAGAATTCTGAGATTTCTGCGGGAGCAGCCAGTTGAAAATAACTTTTCTCAGATGTTAGGGTAACATTCAAGCAATCCTGCAATACAGAACTTCTTGCAGATGACAGCTGCTTCCATTCAACAAACCAAATCAAGACCACCATTTAAGTAGCACAATTTAAGATTCCAGCAGTGCATTTTATGGAGTGCATCACAAAATCTTCTAAACTCTACCCCATGAAGACAGTTTTCTTCTATCTTAATATACTAAGTGGCCCGATTTTACGAGGTAACCTCGAAATGATCAAGATAACCGGAGGACTTTCTGAACTAGTGTTTGTCCATTACGGACAGTCCAAATAAAAAGTAAGGGTCTGGCCTGTACAACCACTGCAAGATTCAAGTGCCTCAAAACTACGCGGTGTTTGCTGATAACTAAAACTGTCTCGTTGTATCCCGACGAGTGAGGACGAAAAGCTCTCCAAAACAGTTTGAAGAGAGCGACGTTGAAGCCTATTTGAAATGACAACACCATCGCGGACAGAACACCGATGAACACTTCGTACCCCAAATGGTCAGTCGGTCCCAGAAGCGTCTTGGGATCGTGAATAACGCGCTAGTAGGTATAGTGACCTAAAACCTAGGTAGTATCCAGTGGCTACCCTAAACCATGTCTTTAGCGAAAGTCGATCTTCCTGCGCACCAAAAAGGCTACTGCGAATATAATGTTTCGGCGATATCATATTTTCGAGGTTCGCCGGTTCACTCCTAGAATTGCAAGGATGTGTGGTTCATCGGCTCTTGGAAGGCCTCAGACTCCTTAAGCAGGAGAAATACAGCGGCCACGCGAAAGCATTTGCATGAGCATGATTTTTTAACCTAACGAAGACTATGCAGTTATTGTGCCTGTCTTCTTGTTAAGCAGACTCATGGATGGCCTCAATGAGGGTGGTTTTATGGAACCGAATGTCGATGTTCCGGACTCTTCCTTGGTGAGCTTTATTGGCATGGTCCACACAACTCGAAGTGCCATTTGAAACTGTGAGAATTATATCCTGGGAATCTCAGCAGATGAATGACTAGCAGTCAACCAATCCGGTGGATTAAAGGACAGGACTAACGTATATTTTCTTATTCCCCACTCTTTGAATGCCTCAATTGCGCATGGGTAACTTGACAGTTCTACATCCGCA